TTAAATTAGATGATCATGATTTTACTGTCTTCAGACACTTTTGGATTTGGCATTGGATCAGCTGTTAATATATAACTGCAGTTACATTGTGCATGCTGATTACAATAAGAATACTGAATTATGTGTATAACAAGAAACACAAATAATTTAGATTCTTGTGGAAAGGCAAACAAGAGTATATATAATACAGAGGAGTTCATTAGTACCAAAAATGAGGCCTTTAAAATGATCACACAGTTACAAGAAAACGGAACATCATGAGCTTCACACATGTAAAATTCAGAATGCAGAACTGTTGGGAGGTATTATTGTCAACTGGTGTCTCTAATAAACTCCCAAGTAAATGTCCACTGGACGTAATGAAAATAACTAAGAAGATTGAAATGCAACAAATGCCCAATGTATCTATTAACCGGTCTCATACTAACATCTAAGGTACTGTGAAACTTCTTGAGCCAGCCCTCATTTCTTCAGATTTTGCTAGGAGAATGGGAAATGATAAATTATTGAAACATGAGCAAACATGCATGAAAATGGAGAATATGAGGCAAAAATAGAGATTGTACAATTCTAAGAGTCAGTATTTGGTATGACCACCTGGGATCACTGTGGTGCTGAAAAATGAAGCTGCTGCCAGTGTGAGATGATATTACATTGTGGATAAAAATAGTACTTTTCTGTGTTCATAATTTCATCAATGTTGACAAAATTTCCAACAGCACTGACTAAAATAGAGATACAGAAACCATGAACGAGCCTCCACTGTGTTTTATACTATGTGTTTTGTGACAGGCTGCTAGTAGCCCCTAAAGATAAATGTTTAAATTGGCTGTTTTCTAAGTCGTCTGTTAAGTGTAGACACAAAACTTGGTTGTAGACAAAACCCCCGAGTACAAGGACTGGACTGAAAATGGATGAAAAAGCATCCAAGATCCAAAGAAAAAACTTAAGAGACCTACAGGAAGCCTGCAGAACTATTGTTCAAGAGCACTTTAAAAATGACAGGATAGTCTGAGCCAAAGAAAAAAGGGTTGGCTTAAGACTTTTGCAGAGTCTGCTTTGCATGACATTACATATTTAAATGGTATGCATATATGGTTGAATTATATCATATGTAACTTTAAAGTTAATTCTAAATGCAATACTTACTTGTTCTTTAATTTTGGTGTTACTATTGCAGGGACCCGTGGCAGGATGTGCCATGGTGCATCTGGATCTCATCCCGAAACTGTGACATCTCTCTGGTCTTCTCAAACTTTGAGCTCTACAACATGATTCGCCTTGGTGTTCACCTCAGTCCCAGCTCCACTGTGTGGCTCAAACCATGCAAGTTTGAC